ACATCAATACATTCACCAAATAACATGACCATTATAAGTTGTTATTGATGATATCTGTCTCACTTCAATATAAGTGACCTACACTGATCATCGCATATTATGAGAACTGTAAGAATTTTTCCAGGAAATAATGATTAACAATCATACTGTTACTAAACTGTACAGTTAGTTGATATGGACAAATTTTGTAATTAGTTTTTGTTGTTATCCATATTTCTTCATTAATTCTTATAATTTGTACAATTAATATTACTGACTACAAAATTATTTATATTGATATCATGAATGGATCAATGTTAGACCACCATGGAAAACATGGAAGCATTGGATGACCGTTTCATCACAGTATGGGACTCCTCGGTAGTGCAGTTACTCAGTGAAGACAATGGTGGATGATAGCGCGATATCGTGGGTTGTTTGAAGATAGGCATTAACATCGTTGGATGCCGGTCAGCTCAGTTGTCTAGAGGTTAAGCTTCAGCGTGCGAGACTGTTAGCCCTGGCTTCGAGTCTCTTTGATGCGGGGTCGTAGATACGCACTACTGAGGAGTCTCACACTGAGATGAAACAGTTGTCCAGTGCTTCCAGGTTTTCAGTGGCGGTCTAACATCCGTCCATTCATGATATTAATCTAAACTCAACATTCTCCACAATCCTATACTTATCAAATTGTTGTTTTAAAAAATAACTTGACCTTCGATCTTCCGTTCTAGTTTTGAGCCTCTCTCACATGACGTATTGATTATCGCTCATAAATACATTACTGTACATATATACTTCATATTCTCAGTTATCCTCTATTACGATGACAGAACTCTGATATATTTGCTATCTATGTTTACAGATCACATTGACATCCCCATTAAGTCACTAATCTGGATACACATCTTGATTTATAGCAATCATAGATGGAATTACTAACTACTTATAATAGTGGATTACAATACAAAAAGAAACTAGAACACGTCTACTCCTGAAAACTTAACTAACATCCAGTATATTCTTGTTGTATAACTTGTATTTCGTATATTAACAAACCAATTTTTTTGAAATAACCTTGTCAGTATTTTGGAACTAATATATTTTAGTCCACCATATGATAGAGTTTCTAACCACTTCCAAATTAAAAACACACTCCTATCGTTATTGTAATTACAACAGTACTTAAGCTGCAAGACAATTCAAATGTATGGAGCTGAAATGTTGAGAACTACCACAATCATCATTGAAAAAGTAAAAGTATTTATAAACATTTATGTACACAAGATACTCACTGTCCGTTGACCGGATGCCATCAGCAACAACCTACTGTAGGAGAGAACAAATCAACTTCCAACTGAAGAGGATATTAGAAAACGACGTTGAAGATGGATAGGAAATACATTACAGAAATCACTAAACTGCATCACGAGATAAGAGCTAACTTGGGATCCTGAAGGTAGACGCAAAAGAGGAAAACGAAACTATACATGTTATAACTTGTCAGTTGACTGCTTTTTGTTATATCTGGTCGTCGCTGATTGTTGTATCGGAAACGCTTATCATTTATACTCGGAACGAGGGATCTCTGCGATTCCCACGACGCGAAAGTAAGAACACAAGACTGGTATAAGTGAAGATTTATTAACCCAAAAATACATTCATTTATATATTGATTGTACACCCATTTTGGTTAATAATCAAGATGAAATCACATATATGAAAAATAGTTAAAGTAATGTTGAACAAAATTCATAATGAGTAAATCAATCGAAAACTGACTTTTCTTTCCATCATATCAATACACTGAGTCGAGAATTGGAAGCAGACATGTAAAGAATGAATAGAAACTGGAAAGTGTTAGAAATGATTGCCCAGAACAAAGTTAGATAAAGAATGCTATTGGGTGGCCTATGCTCCTCTATGTGGGGTGACATACGTAACTAACTAACTAACTAAATATGTTGCAATAATTTCATAATTATCATCAAAACTATCTTGTTTAACAAATTTATTTTTCATAACATACTTCTAAGAACTGATCATATAAACACGTCTAACTTGAACGGTAAAATTGATAAATCTGATACTGAAAAAAAAGGAGAAAAAAAACAAGAACAGTAAGCAATTCTTGATACAATCAATTTGCCAAATGTAGTTTTTTCCCTACACCTATCGATAAGTAATAAACTATAAAAAGAAAAAAAATTGGGTACTAATGACCTTTACAAGATAAAAAGGCCAAAGAATTTATCCTTATTAATGAAATGAAGTGAAGAAAAAGAAAAAAAAGCAAACGGTATAGTACCGATTGTAAAACTTTATAGTTTTATATTCATTTTACACATTCATTTAAACAATTATCGAATACTAACAACTATTGACCTATTCAATTTACTTACTTACTTACTTACTTACGCCTATTACTCCCAAAGGAGGAAAGACAGCCAACCAACATTCTCCAACCCCCTATGTCCTCAGCCTTCCTTTCTAGTTTGACCCAATTGTTGTTCATATTTGTCTCCACTTCTCGGAGTAATTAGTTCTTCGTTCTTCCTCTCCTCCTTTGGTCTTGAGGATTCCGAGTGAGGGCTTACCTTGTAACACAGTTGGGTGATTTCCTCAATGTATATTCTATCCACTTCTAGCTCTTCTTCTTGATTTCTTTCTCCATTCAGACCTGGTTTGTTCTCTCTCACAGTAGGTCATATATAGGATAAAAAACTGAGTAATTTGTATTTAACTGATTAAGTGTAATTTACAAACAGTAAAATACATATAAACAGTCAATAAGTTATAACATATCACAAATAAATAACACTATTAATAATAATAATAATAAAATAATAATAATGAAATGAATCGCATTATATTGGTATAGAGAGTCAGTTATTCATTGAATCATTAGCAATGTGATATTGTCTAGCCATTTAATTGCTGATGGAATTATGTGGATCGATTTGCAATGTGTCCACAAGCACAGATCACTTCACATCGCATGCATCATGGTGAGATGCAAAGTGCTGGTTTGACGTAGTCTAAAGGAAACAGTGGGCCTAGATTTCCTCCAATATATCCAATACCCATTTTATTAAAATAGTTCAACTGATCGAACTTGTAGACAAGTTCGTTTCATTTCACTCTTTCTTCATTTTAATAACATACTATAAATTATGCTATGTATATGTAATCAAAATGCCTCAAAATAAATAATATCGCTCAACATATTTGTTCGTATATAGGGTGAGACCAGATAGCTAGCTCACAGGTTCATTATTGATCACAAATCAAACTAACAGCGTATTCTTACCTTGGTCATTAACACACACGACATTCACTATACCTGCCACATACTCCATATTCAACACTGATTCCTATCTATCAACAACAAAATATCTCTCACAAAGATAGATGAGCAGTGACAAGTAATTTACATCGTTTCAGCTCTTGTATCAACACAATTTATCAATTTCATCTATTACATAACTCACTTACCTTTTACGTAGATATAACGTAGATATTACGTAGATTTCGAAAAAGTTTTACTTACGTGCTCATATTTAGCAATCAGAACTTTCAAACTGGAATAGTAGTGATCGATAGGACATATGGAGTTCAAATGTTTTGGAAAGTACATTTACTGAATATACACATTAACTAACCCTTATCACTCTGGTACATTGTGGTTTTTCTTGATTCCGTACCATTCTACTTAAATCATTGATGATCATAAAAGAAGTACTGAAATAAAGCCTCTTTTTTGAAAAAAGAAATACATAACCTTGTATTTAAGGTGTAATTACAATCTTAAAAGGACCACGTAAAAACATTCTAATTATAATCACAATTGATTGATCACTGGGTGATGATTAATGTCATGTGTGTCAATTCATTCTTAGTGCAGATCGAATGCTATCTACCAAGTTGCAATGCGGCTACTAGTCTAGGCGACTCAACATTGCATGTTGAGGTCGGTCACAGCCCGGATAGCCCATTGGTAATGTCTCTAACTGTGAAGCTGGATGACACAGGATCAAATCCGTCAGGGAGCACCAGTTCCCTCAAGATTACAGGTATGCCTTGCTGACGAGTGCCAAGTAGCACGAAACCCGTGTCCAAGGTTTCCTGTTGACTACGTTCAACCACCATCTAGCATTCTTATTATAACATCTCATACTATAAATAGAGATGTTTTAGGTTCTTAATCTACCAGAGAACATCATTTCCCTGAAAATTCCAGATACCCTGTAATAGCAAGTTTCAATCAGCATGAAATCCATGTTATGCAAAGATTCATACCAAACTACTTCTAACCAAATAAGAACAATAACAACAACATAATTTAGTCTAACTACCACCAATTCAAGCACAAATATCCAAACAGTTGAGATCATGAGTCAATTGAAGCTAGACCACCAAAGAAAACCTAGAAGTACTGGACAGCCGTTTCGTCCTATTGCGAGACTTCTCAGCAGTGCATATCCACGACCCTACCTCTCGTGTTTCCAACTCAGAACCTATCAGTTTCGCACCAGGCGCTGAGGAGTCCCACAATAGGACGAAACGCCTGTCCAGTGCTTGCAGGTTTTCCATGGTGATCTAGCTTCAATTGACTCATGATTTCAACTGTTTAAATTACTACAATCTCCACAAAACCCCTTCTGATACAAATATCTAGTTAATCCTTATATTACAAATTTAAAAAAGGTTCTTAAATTATGAAATAATGTATGGTATGTTCCAGAAAAAAAATATCTAAATCGAAATAGTTACAGTCATTGCTGTCTTGTATACTTAAATAACCTATCATATTTCATTTTATGATTTATTTGATTGGTTCAATTGAAGTTCATTTAAATGACCTTGAGAAAGGTCAACAATTAAGCAAATGTATGTAGGTGTAATTAAATGAATTACATTTGTAATTTATAACGAATCAAATGAAACCAACTACATAGATACAATAATTTTCATAATATGAATCTAATAAATAATAAATTATATAATTAAATTTTATTATAATGAAGAAATTATGTTATTTTATATTCATTATATCAATATATAAAGATGTAATTATACAAACAAGTAAATTATCTAATCTTCTTCATACATGTCATGTGAATTCACCACGTAGAATACGTAATCTTGATCAACAAACAATAATGTTAATGAATCAAAATTCTAAACCATGTTGTTTACCAAATACATGGAGAGCACGTTTTCTTGTAAAAACAATTAAAGGTGGTCGTTATTTAAGTCGTTTAGATCATGGTGCATTTCATATTAGTCATAAATTAGATGGATCATTTAATAATGCATTATTAGTTGTTGGTAGAAATGTATATTCAACAGAATTTTGTAGTATTAATAATACAGATAATTCAATTATTATAAAACATTTATGTCCAAATGATAGTATACGTTGTTTAAAAACACCATTTCTTGGTGAACCAAGATGTATAACTGAAAAAGATGGTTATATATTAAAAAAATCACGTTTATATAATGGTAAAGGACAAATTAAAGAAATATGGTTTATTGATAAATATGATAAAATATTTGGTCATATTGAAAGACATTTATATCATGTATTACGTCAATATGGTTTATGTCAATTAATACGTTATCAAATACAATGGGGTAAATATACAATGCCATGGAAAAGTTGTCGTTTATTTATAAAACGTGAACAAACTTATACACCAATAACTGGTACATTTCAACATCAATTTAATCATTCATTAATTGATGATCTATTATTTTGTTAATATTTTCAATATAAAATCACTATGGTGATAAACATAAATTATTTGATCACAATTATCCCATAGTTACTAATGTAAAATATTTTTTTTTAAAAAAACGATCGATCAATTTTAATCTTTCATTTTCATTTCAAACTAGAAACAAAAAACGAAAAAAAAAATAAAAACTTATTTTCTCTAAATTATGGGAAGGAAATCCAATAAGATTTGAAATAATATAAAAATGTAAAAATTATGTAATTGATATTTCTGATTTTATATAGACATCAATGATTTAAAAAGAAAAAAATTTTTTTTTTAAATTTCCAACTTGTACTTTTATTTTTGCCTTCATATATATATATATATAGAAACAAGTTTGACACCGATTACCAACTATTAATAACTCAATCTTACACACACACACACACAGACAATTCGTTTCAATCATTGATTTTCACAATGTCAACTTTTTGACATAATTCGCATTTAACTAGCTCATGTTATTCTATTAACTAATATCAACATCTAAATAGGATTAAATGAGCATAATATAGATTTGATTTGATTGATAAAACACTAGATATTACTTTGATAATCTTGATCTGGATTATTATTATTATTGTTATCCTGAAGAGGTTCAGATAAATTTATCGGACGAAACATTGGAATTATTCTACATTTCAATGACTGAGATTATTTCAAATATATATATATATATGTATATATATATATATATATATATAGTTTTTCCACATATAATGATTTTTCTATACTTGATGCCCAATTTGTGTCAGATTATTCATTCTTATAAAAAGTAATTGGTAAAGTGAGTGATTCTAATCAAAAGTTGAGGTTGATAATCTAGTCTTGTTAATTTCGCTTAGATTATAATTGTTAAAATATAATTAATTGAAATTATGATTAATATTTGTTAAATTAATAGTTATAATGTGATGTGTACTACTGATATTGACAGATATAAGCAGTATGTATCATGAATCGAAAGTGAAATGTCTGTCAGAGAACGAAGGAACTATGAAGTCTGAGACAATTGATTGATATTTTGCAAATAAAGTATTTACTTTATGGTTCTGAGATTTTACTGGTCTCAACATACACAAAGGGAAAAGATTCCCCGATACAACACAGCATGCATCAGTCAAATCACAATTGACGGAGAAGCTTTGGAGGATGTAAAAACTTTTACATATCTGGACAGCATCGTTGATGAACACGGTGGATCTGGCGTAGACGTGAAGGTGCGGATCGGCAAATCAAGAGAAGCATATCTACAAATGAAGAACATATGGAACCGAAAACAATTGCCAACCAACACCAAGGTCAGAATTTTCAATACAAATGTCAAAACAGTTCTACTGTATGGGGGGGGGGAAACTTGCAGAACTACGAAAGCCATCATCCAGAAGATACAACTATTTATCAGTAGTTGTTTAGGTAAAATACTTCGGATCCGTTGGCCAGACACTATCATCAACAACTTACTGTGAGAGAGAACAAAGCAGATTGCAGCGGAGGAAGAAATCAGGAAGAAGAGCTGGAAGTAGATAGAACGCACATTGAGGGAAGCACCAAACTGCGTCACAAGGTAAGCCCTCACTCGGAATCCTCAATGCCAAAGGAGGAGAGGAAGACCGAAGAACACATTACCCCGAGAAATGGAGACAAACATGAGAAGAGTGAATAACCATTGGGTCAAACTAGAAAGGAAGGCTGAAGACATAGTGAGTTGGAGAATGTTGATCGGCTGTCTTTGCTCCTTTGGGAGTAATAGGCGTTAGTAAGTAAGTCTCAGATCTTACTAAGAGATCGTGTAATTTTATGTGTTCGAATACATTCGATTATCCCCGCCTGTATGGTCAGGATCCATAAAATAACTACTTATAATGGCTAGAAATGTTGAGTGATACGCTTCAAACTATTTTCAATAATATTAATTCATCCCGTTTTTGCTTATTCCATAATTCTGAGTTTCGAAATTATTCCATACATTTTATACCTTCAGTTAATTCTTTATTCTTAAGTCACATTCTCTGTAGCATAGCTTTTTCAGCACCACTGAGACTACTACCGTTTTAGAATTTCATACCGTTATGTAAAAGTGCTGTGGGAACTTAGGTTTGTCCAAATAAGTGTCAAGTTTTATGTTGCTCATTACTGACTGAATGAGAAACTAAGCAAAATGCATTCTATTTTCCTAACGGTCTTATAGAATCCTTTCATTTCTGTTTATAGGTGAATGTTAGTTACAAAGGTTTATTTATTTCAGCAGTTTAAAAATCCCCATAGACTATTGAAAAATGAAGAATATTTGAGTGAATAATTGTTTTCAATTACTTCGTTATCAGAATCTACAGCCTTAAGTCCATAATTATTTTGTTACTTTACAAAGGCCAAAATAAGGTATGTATTCATGAATTTGGCAATGTTATTGTTATAACTTGTTACGGCCGATTAGAGGGCAGTGACTTATCAATCGGATCAATGACGCGTAAAACACGTGCGAGCAGCCTAGAGTCCTTATCGGTCCTGCTTTCCATCTAGCCCAGCCAGTTAAGTCCAGAACACCAATCTCAGCCTCTGCGTATGAATCATTATATTTGAAACATACTCTGTTTATATACCAATCAAGCAGACCACAACGTACCAATAGAATATGAAACAACATTTGTACAAGAATTAGCCAGATGTGGCTGTGAACGACGAAGGTAGTAATTAATATACTGGGTATAACTCAAGAATGGTAAAACGTATAATAATAGTTTATGGGTCAAAATAGAGCTTATAATAAGAGGAATATGAATATGCATAGTTTAGTTATTTAATAATTATACAATAGAAATATGCGTTTAGTATTGGTCCATCAATAGATCTCAAAGTTACCATTCATTATGTTTCTCGGAACCTAACAGATATACGTTAATAATGGTGAATGTTTGCATCTATTACGACATAAGCACTTCAATATTGTGTTATTTGCTAATTAGAAATGTCATTCAATAAAGGTCAGAATGATTTGGAGTAAAGTGTCAAGTCACAATCAGTAGTAGAATAGTTAGGACGAAACGGCCGTCCAGTGCTTCCAGGTTTTCCATGGTGGTCTATCTTCAATTGACTCATGATTTCCATCTGTGAAATTTCTAAAATCTCCATAAACTCCTTCTGAGAATAGTTATAAAGCAAAAATGAAAATGCAAAAATTTGTGTGAATAAAATGCATGGTAGGGGAATTTAATCTTGTCAGTTGAGATAATAATAATAAGATTGTTGTGTGAATATAATGTGTAATATGGGGTTGCTATCAAGGTAATTACGATAAACGAATTGGGAATGGTGGATGTGAAGATTAAGATAGAGGTAATAAAAAAGAGTGGGTAAGATGTTTGTAATATTTAGTTTAGGTATCCGGTGATCCAGTCATGAACTAAGGTAAACATGTAGGCTGGATATGCTTTTTCTGGATACATAAGTTTGGTTTTCTGGAGTTGATCCAGATGGCTTCGGCCATGTAGAGCAATCGTAATCTAGCTCCTTGAGGTAGATATGCTGGAACTTGATATAAAGCAGAGAAAGCTTCCCCTATTTTGATATGATGTTCACTATCTACCAAGTGAGAAAGAATAGTGCTGTTAATCGATTTAGTAACTCCTTTTCCAAACTATGCTGGTACATGTTCACGAACACACAAGGATAAAACTCTCTGAGTACATCCTACGCAACTAGCTCCACAGGAGTAGTTGAATTGATATACGCACATCAAGGAGCCCATCTTCAGTAACCTATCCTTAATTAGTTGGATGAGAACTGTTTTAGTTGAGAAAATTATATGCAGCTTGGCGGTGTGAAACGTTCTTTCGACAGATCTTTTGAGTCGACGTGTTAAAATATCACCCGCTATGTCCCATTTAAAGCCTAGTCTCAGACATAGGGTTTTTTTACTGACTGTGTCACAATTTCTTCTTTTTTGAGTACTTTAACTTTAAAATGTCATAATTATGGACATATAACTGTAGAGCCTGATGATGAAGTTATTAAAAACAATTGTTCGCTCAAATATTCTTTATTTTATTTATTTATTTGAACACATAAACGTTGGTACAAGGGGTCACCAAATATATGTGCACCACAAAATAACAATGAGGCCAGTACTAATTATCATTGATTTCTGCGAGGGTTATGAAACTGCCTAGGTCCCCGGACCAAAGTAGGTGGTTTTCTTGAGGGCCACATCACGAGCCTTTGACCTAAAGGTCTGATCCACAACGTCAGGAGATGTAGTCCCATCAGAGCCGGTAACCAATAATAGGTTCATACAAAATTCGTTCCCTCAGGATCCTACAACCCGTGTGCACCATTGGTTTAGAATCAAGGTTTTCCAACTCCCTTATATGGATCCTTCATATCCAACAACCCAGTTAAAGCTCCGGACATTCGTTTTTCTTCCTCTAGCTTTGTAAACGACACCCCCGTTGTGAGAAAGCAATGAGTAGTACTTCCCTGGCATTGGCTATATACACGTGGCCATGTGAGAGCATTTAGAGGGGGAGAGCTGATTCTTCCCACAAAATAGTGATACAAAATTAAGATTCAAGAAGTATAAAGACCAAATGAAGGTTCATATAACTTACAATTTTTCAGATATCACTGAGAAAATTTTATAGATCTAAAAATAAAAGGATGCTTATGAAATTAGAACACATATAAACGAACAATTGTTTTCAGTTAGATCGTCATCAGGCTTTACTCTAATATACATGAATATTTATACGAAAATGTTAAACCAATCAAGGCAATATGGGTCAATAATCACAATGAAATAGAATAAGTCATTACATACAATAAGTAAAATTACAAGTTGATAGTAGGAAGACAGGTGTACTGATAGTAGTATGAATAATGAAATGCGATAACAAAAGTCTTATCAATAGGTAAACGTTGGGAATAGAAGGTAAAACAAACGTGGGTAAATAGACTTGGAATAGTCAACACAAAACATTCGCAGT